GCCCGCACCCTCACAAGCACGGCAACAGTATGCCCGCGGCAAAGAGCACTGCAACCAAGAGGTTGCAGGCGGGAAACCACGGGCCCCGCCTCCGTGATCGTCAACGGCGGTTCACCTCAGACCAGGAGGTGCCATCGGGGTCTCCCCGCGCCCAGGCCGCACCTCTTGGCCGAGGTGGCAGGGCACTAAAAGCCCTGGCCTGACAGCTGCAACGGCGACAGCGGCGGCAGCAGGGCGGGGAGGGGGGAAGGGCCACTCTCCGGCCCAGGAGCGCAAACAACGTCCACCCCGGAACTTAATCCAGGGCCGTACCGCAACTCCCAAAGAGGAAAGGGGCGACGGACACGACGACGAAAAGAGACACGAAGGACGACAACGAACGACCACGAACCTCCCAGAGGGAAGTGCCGCCCTCCGCCCGTTCCTTATCGCACCCGCGAGCGGGCGGGATAAGGAGCGTGACATCATCGGACCCACACCGCGTTCAGGCGTTGCCACACGGAGCCCAGGCTGCACCGCTTATCCGCGGTGGCGAGGCATTTGAAAATTGCCTTGGCCTGACGGCACAATGAGGAGGAGGAGGAGGAGGAGGAGGAGGAGGAGGAGGAGGAAGAGGAGGAGGAGAAGGAAGACAGGCGGGGGAGGAGGAGGCGGAGCCGCAGGAGGCGGAGGAGGAGGAGGAGCTCCGCGAGGTGGAGAAGACCTACCAGTACGGCTTCTCCTTCGACCCCGTGGCCGGCGTGGCGGCCTGCCGCGGGGAGCACGGCGACGCGGCAGGCGGGGCCTCCGCGGGCCGCGTCTCTCGCTGGCCCTCTCCCGTGGGCGTGTCACGGTCGGTCGCAGTCGCAGTCGGCTGCGCTCGTCGCGAGGGGGGGGGATCTCGGGCGGGACTAGGACGAGGATGACTCCGTTCCAGAGCGTTCCGGGACGCTCTCAGAGCGCTCCAGAGCGTCGCAGTCGCAGTCGGTTGCGCTCGTCGCGAGGGGGGGAATCTCGGGCGGGACTAGGACGAGGATGACTACGTTCCAGAGCGTTCCGGACCGCTATGGGAAGGCCGCTGCGCCCGATACATCCTCCAGAGCCGCCGGATTTCAAAGATTCTCGATTTATCTTCCCCCGAATAGATCCTCGTCCTGGCTTCGTCTTAGAAACGGGACCTGAGGGAAACGGGTCCTAAGGTTGTTCGCCGTTTCAAGGCTCTCGGGGCCATTCACGGGTCCCGGGGGTGTCAGGAAACGGCTCAGGATGAAGAGTTCGTGCTTGGGGAAGGCTCCAGGGTCCAGGATGAAGAGTTCGTCCTGGGGAGTGTCAGAAAACGGCTCAGGATGAAGAGTTCGTCCTGGGGGAAGGCTCCAGGGTCCAGGACCCGTTCCCCCCATGCTAGCCAAGTTCCACCGTTTCGGTTCGGTCGGTTCTTCTTTCGTTGCCGCGCCGTTGCGCCTGTCTAGGCCGCTTGCGGCCTGTCGATTTCGGTCGGTGCCGGTTTCGCTTTCGGCTCGGTCGGTTTTCGGTGTTGCTGTCGTGGTGCACGGCCGTGCTCTAGGTCTCCCAAATGGGGTCGGAGTAGATGGGGTCGGAGGATCGCGCCGCATCGCCGATGCATCGGCGATGCGGCTACATGTGGATCCCGATGTTATCCGCGCCGACGTTGCCCATGCACCGCCGACGTCGCCGATGCATCGGCGATGCGGCGCGATCCTCCGACCCCATCCACTCCGACCCCATTTGGGATACCTAGAGCACGGCCGTGCACCACGACAGCAACACCGAAAACCCACCAAGCCGACATCGAAGCCGACACCGACCGAAATCGACAGGCCGCAAGCGGCCTCTACTCTCGTCTCGAACGTTTCCCCGCCGGCTCGTGGAGGTCGGAGGGCACCAGCTTCGGCTTCCCGCAGTGCTGATAACAAAAACATCAAGCTTACATGAGTATGTACGGCCGCTTCTGGATGGAGCCGTCTGGGGGTCTGAGGTGGTCCAGCACTGGATCCGGCCTGCAGGAAGGGCGGGCAGTTTCGAGGTTCTGGGTTCGAGAAGGTTTTCCCCCAAGTAGGCTTGCCTAAGTGGTTCTTACTTGCTTAAAGGTTGCTGCCTCGGGGTCTACGTGGCCCATTGCTCGAAGATTCCTTGAGTTCCCCGCACCCAGTGCATCGGGGGGTATTTACTTTGCCCGTTCCTTGGAAGTTCCCCGGTTTCATCGGATTCCTCGTTGCCCGGAGGTTCATCGTGTTCCAATGCCAAGCAATGCCAAGCAATGCGGAGCACTGCGCCCATGCAATAGGAAGATTTCCCCTAATTGGGGTCGCGCTGGGTTCATTTGCCTTGCTCAACCTCCAGGTGCCGTTTTCGGGCCCTGGCACCTTGAAAAACTGATCCGGTGAAAAACTGCACCAGATGAACCTCGGGAGGGGTCTGGGGACCGATTTTGAGCGGATCTGGCCCCGCCTCCAAGCCCAAGGTCGCTTTTGATTATGGTCGCTTTCGAGCGGCTCGACCCACCCTGCGGGGGAGGAGGAGGAGGAGGAGGAGGAGAAGGAGGAGGAGGAGGAGGAGGAGGAGGAGGAGGGCGAAGAGGAGAGCGAAGAGGAGGTGGAGGAGGAGGAGGATGAGGAGGAGGAGGAGGCTAACGAGGAGTACGAATCGAGGTCCTGGGCACTTTGTTTTTTCCGGACATCCCGGAAGCTTCTCGTTGCCACGGGTGGGCATCCGCCTCAAAGTTCTGGTCCACACCTTGGGAGAGCTCCGGGGAGCGTCCGTATCGGCATCTAGTTGCGTTCGGCCCATCCCGTCACCGTGCCTGCGTAGACTAGAGGCCTTTAGGATGCTTGTTGATGTCTTGGGATGCCTCTCGGAAATATCTTGGAGGTCGGAGGCTTCTTCCCAGGGCCTCTTGCAGGCATGTTGGGGGTCTTGGGTCTTGGGGACACTATTTTGGGAAACGGCTCCCAAAGCACCGTCGCTTTCCCCCTCTCGAGATGCTTTTCGAAGCCTCATGGGCTGCCTTGGGGCCTCCTGGGGCCAGCGGGTCTTGGTTTCCTGAGAATCAAGTGTCGCTGAACGTTCTGCTTAACGGCTGTAGCCTGAGCCTCGGATCGCGGATATAAAAGCTTCTTCCCCTTCGCCAACATAGCCCCCTCCCAGTTGTCTCGTTTCAGCTACTCTGCATCAGTGACCTGGGGGCGTCTTGGGCCCTCTTGGTGCGTTCTTGGAGGCCTCTCGGGTCGTCTGGGATCGTCGGGGCGCTCTTGGGCCGTCTCGCGGCAATTGGAGGTCTGGTCTTAATTTGCGGTGTTCGAGCACTCGATGCAGAGGACTCCGAGGGGACCTGGGCGCGCTCCGATCAGTCACTACGGCACTGTGGTGGATCTTTTTGCTTCTCAGGAGGAGGAGGAGGAGGAGGAGGAGGACGACGAGGATGAGGAGGAGGAGGATTCCGCGATCGATGTTCTGTCCATTGCTTCTGCCTCCATCTCTAGACGCCACGAAGGTAGGGCAATCCATAATATCTTTCGGGTTTGGGGGGGCCCCCAGTTCCCCGAGCGCCCTGGGGAGCCCGAAACAGCACCGGAGGGTCCCCGGAGGGCCCCGAAACGGCACCAGAGCTCCCGGGAAGAGCCCCGAGATGCCGAGATGGCCCAAGGAGGCACCGAGACGACAAAAGACGGCCCCGATGTGACCCGAGATGTCCCTCCGACGGCCCAAGATGCTCCCAAGGCGGCACCATACCCGCCAAGACGCCCCGAGACGGCTCCGAGGGGACAACCTCGAGGGCCCCACGAGGCCCAAATCGTAGATTTCCCATGGGTTTCCTACGGATTCTGAAATTCTCGCGCCCTCGACCGTCTGGACCCCCCCGACGGCCCAAGAGGCCTCCAGAATCGCCCCGAGACGGGCCAAGAGGCGCCCAAGGGAGCCCCAAGGCAGCCCAGGAGGGGCCCACGGAGGGCCCGAGAGGTCCCCGAGATGGCCCAAGAAACCCCCGAAGAGGACCCCAAGACGGCGCAACAAGCCCACAAGAGGCCCCCAAGACGGGCCAAAAGGGACCCGAGTTTGCCCACGAGGGCCCCAAGACGCTCGAAGATGCTGTCAAGACGACCCCCAGAGGGCCCAAGACGCCCCACAAGAGCCCCAGGATGACCCCCAAGAGGGCCTGAAGAGGCGAAAATCATCGACTTCACGTTGTTTGTCGATCGCACACCGCAGATTTCTGGCACTTGCGCCGTAGACAGAAGCGCGCGTCGGCAAACTTCGACTCACGCAGCTCCGTGGATTTAATCCACGGGTCCACACTAGTACCTATATACAGATATGTATGTGTTCATAGTCTATGCATGTATGTGTTTCTATAGACACTCTATATATATGTGTGTATGAGTGTATGTCGGTCTTCATAACATGTTTGCCTCCAGATGCCAGAGCTTTAACCATGTCCCACTCTGGCCCAACCTCCTCATATCCTTGATCCTCCACCCCTTCGTCCTCCTTGCCACCTTTCTTATCATCGTCCTTGTCTTCCTCTCGGTCCTCGTCCTTCTCATCTGGTTGACGCCCCCTGCTTGTTTGAATGCTAAGGGCACTTCTGGGGAAATATGAATTGACAACCTGCAGTGGCGCGTCAGTCGTCATCAGGGCGGCTTCCGGTGATGAGTATCAAACGAGTGTGTTTTATTTATCCGGCTTCCGATGCCAGCCCCACGCCTGGCTTGTTCATTCATTTGTCTGCCATAGTCGGGCGCAGCATTTCCAAAGCAGGCACAAGGCGAGATGCAGACATTGAACAGAATGTCTGACTCGCGCATCTGCGTACTCTCAGGACTCTGCCCCGCTAGGATGGCTGCCGAAGGTCAGTCGAACACATGGACATGTTGAAAGGGACACCTCCCAGACAGTAGGACTCAGTAGGATGAGGGACCGGGGCAGATCATGTGGTCGTCGCTTCGGCCGCCAGTTTGGCGGCAGCGCCGATGCGCCAGCATAGCCGCGTGGGCCACTTTCGCAGCCACCTGGGCTCAAGGAGGCGAGCGCCTCCCGAGGAAGCTCGCGACTCCCTCGAAGGACGCGCCAGTCGGAGCGATGGTGCAAGATGGTTCCAGCGCGGCCAGGCCCGTGGCCCACTTGCCCAGTAAGGAGGAGGAGGAGGAGGAGTAAGGAGGGGTAGGAAGAGAAGGCGGAGGAGGAGTAGGAGGAGGGGGAGGAGGGAGGAGGAGAAGGAGGAGGAGGAGGAGGAGGAGGAGGAGGAGGAGGAGGAGGAGGAGGAGAATGATGATGATGAGGAGGAGGAGGAGGACCAGACCCCCCAGAGGCAGGGGCCATCGACAAGCTGGGCCGCTTTGGGCCTCTGGAGGGTCCGCGTGGCTTCTTGGTCGCACCCGTGCCCCCCGAGGTCTAGACATGCTTGAGCCCTGGGTCCTGAACCTGTGGGCCCCCTCCGTGGGGCCAGCTCTGCGTCCTGGGTCAGTATTCTGATCCCCCCCGGGGTCCGCAGGGGCCGACAGCAAGCGAGAATGAGAAGAAGCATCGGGCACGATGTGGTCCAATCGCTGAAGGTCTGGGCCCTGGGCCTGGCATGTGGGCCACGGGTTGTAAGGCAGAGCAACGTCGAGGCGGCGTCCGCCGCCGTCCTGAAGCTGATGGCCACGCAGGTGGTCCTGCAGGCTGCCGGCAACGCCATGGAGCGCGAGGAGGATTGGCGACGCGCAGAAGCGGGTGGCACGAGGAGGGGTCGACTTCGACCTCCTTGCAGCGAGCAGTGGCGAAGCGTCCCGGCCTCCATGTAGGCCGACCAGAACATGTTCTGAGAACCTTTTGCGGTTTGCGCGAACTGCTCTTGGAGCATTTCTGGCTGAGACTGGCTTGGTTTAGTACACCGGGCTGATGTTCTAAGAACCTTGGTTTGGTTCTTCGAGCATTCCTTGGTTTCTAAGCGCAAGCCGTGGTAGGCCTGAAGAAATACCAGGACGGTCGGTCCCTGCTCAATCGAAAGATCTGGCTCTGGCCCTGGATGCCTCTCGTGGCCGCGGCTGGACGCAGCTCGGGAAAAGGGGCCAGGATGGATCCCGAGGGGAGAGGTTCGGGGGCCGATGCTGGGCGGGTTCCTGCTGGTCGCGGGCGCGGCGAGGAGGGCGGCCTCCTGAGAAGGCCAGGGGTCCCGTTGGCAGCCCTCCTGCCTCCTCAGAAGGGTCCTTGGACCTCGTTCCTCCTCTCCCTTCTCCTCCTCCTCCTCCTCCTCCTCCTCCTCTTCCTCCTCCTCCTCCTCCTCCTCCTCCTCCTCCTCCTCGTCCTAGCCACTTGGGCTCGAGCATCTGCGTGCCCTGCGGCTTCCAGGGCGCGCCTGCGCCCTCCCGCGTGCCCCCCCCTGCTCCGCCCTGCCTCTCCTGCGATGGTGGCCACTTCGCGGCTGGCCTGGGTACGGAGGCCCAGTGCCGCTGCTTCGGTCCCGCTCGGCACTGGGCACGCTGTGGTGAAAGTTGGCCCATGCATACTGTGCAGACTTTGCAGGTCGCATGCGTCGACGAACGTTGAACGTCGTCCTCCTCCTCCCCCCGTTCTGCATGCCCGCCAATTCGCTGTGCAGTGCCCTTGCATCGCTGCCTGGCTGTACCGGATTGCTCCGCCTCGCCGCCGACCAAAAAAAAACAAAGACTGAGAGAGGGTCTACAGTTCATATCTCGTCCCGTGCTGCGCTGCATTCGGAGCGCGCGAAGGTGAAGATTCTTGTGCTCCCTGGGCCAGGTGCAGTCTGCAGTCGCGCGTGTACTTCAACCAGGGTGGCTGGACGCAGTGGTTCAACAACGCGGGCCTCTGACAGCTGTGGACGTGGGCATCGTCATACGGACGGCACCTCCGAGGTTGGTATCTGGTTCTCCTGGCAGCAAGCTGCTGGTGGCGGTGCTGACCTCCCTGATTAACATGGAGGTGGTGCTTCTGATGGTGAAGGGGCTGGCGGACAGGACCGCTCTCCAGGCGCTGCGCGGCGAGTTCCTCATCGTCCTGCTGGGTCTCGTAGTGACGATCCCTGGCATAGGTGCACAGGTTGCCCTTGGTGATGGTCTGGCATGGCCCCGAGTGCGAAGAGGCCGCGCCAGCTTGGCCTTCTGGACGGCGCACAATAAGATGATGGTCGGGTACTGCAGGACCGGGTACTGCAAGATGGTGATCGTGTATTGCAATATGGCGACTTGGTGCTTCCATACGAACGTGTCTTGCATGATGGCGTCCATGTGCCACCAGATGGGGACCGGGTGTTGCGGGATGGTGCCCTGCGCGATGATGAGCGTGTGTTGCTGTTTGACAGTGTTCGTGCCAGGCTCGCTGATGATCCTGTACTGCAGGACTGAGTGTTGCAAGATCGAGCTCAAGTGCCGCAAGCTGATGCTCGTGTGGGACAAGCTGGTGAAAGTGTATGGCCTGACGCTCGGGTACTGCAAGAATGTGATCAGGAGGTTGGGTACTGCAAGATGATGATCGTGTGCTGAACTACGGCGACCTTATCCTGTCAGATGGTACTCGTGTACTGCAACCTGGTGTTCGGGTACTGTATGTTAGCGACTGGGCATTGCAAGGTGACCGTGGCGGGCACGATTGTGGTAGTGCGCTGCCAGACGGTCGGGTACTGCAAGATGATGGGGATCATGTTCTGCCAGGTGATGTTGTACTGCCTCTAGAATCTGCCCCGCTGACGCTCGCAGCCATGTACTCCCCAGGCTGCCAGGTGGTAGTCGATGATGGCCTGAGGTATATCAATGCAGCTGGTGCGGCCAGCTTGTGTACAACACAGGATCGATTCCACGTGCTGGGCTGGGTGTTGGCTATGATCGCCTTCGCCGCTGCCTGCGCGTGGCCCTCGACGCGAACCCATTCGATATCGCCTTCAGTTCCCTGGAGATCTCAGAAATGGTTGCGCTGGCTGAGGCAATCTCTCCATCGCGATTGCCCTTCCTCTGATATGTGGTTTTCGGCGGCTTCGGCTCCGAGGTGCGGCCTCGAGTCCGCTCTTCTCTTCGTCTTGTTGCCCCCTTGACATCTTTTTTCGTCGTTCTGCCGCCTCCCCTCTTGTTTCCTGGCCTCCCGCGGTGTCGTTTCTGCGCTTTAGGGTCGCCGTTGCTTCTCCCTCGGCCTCTTCTTCCTCCTTTCCTCCCTCGTTCTCTCTTCGCTCTCCGCCCACGGAAACAATACATTTTCAAACAGTTTCGGCCGCTTGTTTACAACGCATCAAAAGCTCCTCTTGCTCCTCCTCCTCCTCCTCCTCCTCCTCCTCCTTGCCGTTCTCTTTTTTGTGTTGCGTTTCCTATCGTATGGTTTCCGGTCGTATGTTTTCCAGTGGATCGCATGCGTTTGCTATCGTATGGGTTCCTTTGCTGTCTCGTCTCCCTATGCAGTCAACTCGCATAGTAAGGATGGACTACTTTCAATGGCTACCTTTGCACCCTTCCCCTTCGGCCCATACTTGGCCGCTTTCGCTGGCCGCGCCACGCTCGCAAAGTGCCGACATGGCCTTCCAGGGCCCTTGCATCCCTATCGTGCGCCTTCTTTTAACACGGCTTGGTTGTATCCTCCTCCTCCCCCCCTGCCCCCTGCCCTGCCGCACAAGGCCGCGCCCCTCCCCCTCCCGCCCTCTGCGCGCTGCTCTCGAGGAGGCCGCCGCCCGCGGCGGCGCGGGGGGCGCCCCCGAGCGGGGCGCGGAGTCGGAAAACCCCAGCCGCCGCGAGTCGTTCAGCTTCAGCCAGCCGGCGAGGAGTTCCATCAGGACCTTTCGGGCGTCAAGTGAGGGGGGGGGGGGCGAGAGATAGAGGGGGGGGGGAGGAAAGGTGGAGGAAAGGTGCACCTTTTGTGCCGCAGAGGGGCCCTCAAGAAGCCCTGAAGGGGCGCCCTGGGACCCCAGGTAGCACGAAAGGTGCACGTTTCTCCCGCCCCCCCCCACTTGTCACTTGTCACTCACGCCCTCAATTCATTCACGCCCGAGACTTAGCTGCCCTGATACGCCCGTGCTGAGACGCAACACGGACCGTGCGCGAAGCGTCCGTGCCAACACGCTGCGCGTTGGCTCGGCACGCCTCCGGCCCAGCTGTGGGCGAACGCCTCGCGCCGGACCCGCGTTTTCAGCCTGCGCCGACACGCTACGGGCTGCGCATTTGCGTACCGGGGCGGCTGAGATCAGGACCGTCCCGTGACGGCAGCGGTCGAGGGGCGGCCCCGGCAGCGGCTCGGGCGTGGCGCGGCGCCGGAAGGCCCCCTGGGCCGCCGCGGGCCCCGTCGGGGCCCTGCCGGCGAGGGGCCCGAGGCCCGCCGCCCCCCCGTGCAGCGGCGCGGGCCGCTGGAAGGAACTCGGCGGCGAGCGAGGGGGGGGGAGGGAGAAGGAGAAGGCCTTCTCAGGAGGCGGCGGGACTGCTCAGGAGCCCTCGCGCCTTCCGAGAAATTTTGTTGTGTCTTCGGGGAAGGCTCAGAAGACTTCTCAGAAGGCCGGGGGGACTTCCGAGCCTTCTGAGAAGCCCCGCCCCTCCTCACTTCCCCCCCTCGCTCGCCGCCAAGAAACGAATAGCAGCGAGAGCTGTTGGATGGCGCGTCGCTCCGCCGGTTCTGGCCCACCGCGCTTCGGCGCGACTTGCCAGCCACTTCGCGGCCCCTGGGCTGCAACGTCCGAAGCCTTTCCCGAGCCTCCCGGCTCGCGGAGCGGGGCGACGCGCTAGCCGCTCGCAGCGCAAAGCGTGTCGCCAGGGCCGCCGCCGCGACGCGCCAAGCAAAAGCTCCCGACCGTAGATGACAGCACGAGCGTGAGCCGGGCACCGGCAGGGCACCGCCGCTCCCTCGCTGGATCGCGCCGCCGCTTTTCGTCGAACGGTCCTCGAAGAAGCAAAGACGGCGCAAGCCGAAGCGCTCGAGGGTCCACGCGAAGTTCTCGGATCGGCGCTGGAACCCCCATGGGGCGACTCGGGCGCCGCCCCTGGCGCGCTTCGCGCGCCAGGGAGGGGGTCCAGCGCCGATCCGAGCAATCCGCGCGGACCTCCGAGACACCATGTTTGTGCCTGTTGTTGTTCCTCTAGCTTTGGGAATTGAGGGTCCGCCTCAACCACTCCTTGTCGCCTGCACTGCCCTCTTTCTACGGTTGTTCTCTCCTCCCTCCTCTCCGCGCGATACGCGTGAGTTTATGCAGGACCCGTGTGCCTTGTAGATAAAGCAGATCGTGGAGATCGTCCTTTCTCCATTCCAGTTTCCCGCACTGGCCCAATAGCCCTTAGGTATGATTTTCGTTGCCCGCTTAGGCACTCGAACTGGTGAGCCTGAGATTGTGAGAGTGCGGGGAAAGCAAGCGACCACAACCACATTGATGACACACCCTGGGGGATGCCGCGCGCATGCCAACAATCGTCCGAACACCGAGATCGTGGTTGTGGTTGCTATGGGCGTCGCAGGACGGCCCAGTCTACCACAGCCGCTTCCAGGGTCCGCATGTCGAGGTCGGTGGGTTCTTCTCCGAGGGCCCCCCCCCAAACGACCTACCAGGGATAGAGGTCCACAGAGGTCTGGGCTAGATCCTTGACGTTCGTTGCGACACCCTCTCTTGGCCTTATTGGGGCGGCCACCGATGGATTTTGTTTTCCGTTTGCGGCGGGTGCTAAGTTTATCGTTCTGCGAAAACTGCCCGCCTGGAATATTGGGAAAACTGGGTGCTAAGAATAACCTAGGGGGGGTTCTTAATGCCTGGTCAGGGTTAGTGGTTGTGGTCATTTGACGGCCCTGGCGGGAGCACCTGGACTGCATGGCGGGGCCGCTCCTCGCTCGCCGCTCCTCGATCCTCGAACCGCGCTCCTCGATCCTCGGCCCTCGAACCGCGCTCGATCCTCGAACCAGGCTCCTCGACCCTCGAACCGCGCTCCTCGATCCTCGACCCTCGATCCTCGCTCCTCGATCCTCGGCCAAGAACCCTCGATCCTCGACCCTCGATCCTCTATCCTCGATCCTCGACCTTCGACCCTCGATCCTCTGTGCGAGCGCGGGGCCTCTCTAGGCTGCAGGGCACGGTCTGCAGGGGCACTGCCGCAGAAGCGTCCAGGCTGCAGGGCACGGCCGCCCCGGGCTGGCAGCGCTGCCCAGGCTGCAGGGCACGGTCTGCAGCGCTTCAGCGTGGCAGGGGTAGCAATTGCACGCGAGCCGGCGAAGAAAGGGCGTCGTCCGGGCCGTCGGCTCCCCCTCCCATCCCCCCCCGCCCCCTCCTCCATCCCTCCTCCTCCTCCCTCCTCCTCCCGTGATCCGTCGATCAAGGTTTACGTCTACCATAGTGTCCAGTTTGATCCGCCCCTCCAGGGGCAAACGCCCCCCCGGGTGGGGGGAGCCAGCGTCAGGACGCCTCTCGTGCCATCATCAACGAATCAAGAGGAGGAGGATGAGGAGGAGGAGGAGGACAAGGAGGAGGAGGAGCAGGAGCAGCAAGAGAAGCAGCAGGAGGAGAAGGCCAGACTCCAGAGCACAAGCGAGGCAAGAGCGCCACGCATCCTGAACGATTCAATTGAGAGGGCAGAAAAAAACGCAGACACAAAGAATCGTCGATTACCAAGAAAACGCGGAAGATATGCGAAGTGGCGGGGAAGACGAACCTCCAGGAAGTGTGAAAAATAAGGGGGATCCTGGGATCTGAATCTATTCATGTGTGTGTCTCTGGGCACCTTCGCTCAAGTTGTGCAGAAGTCGTCGCCGCCGCCGCCGGGGATCGCCGAACTCAGTTTTGCTCGAGCTGTTCACCCTCGGGAGGCCCGTTTCGGGTCCTGGGACCGTCGAGAGGGATGCCTGGGTATCCCGCCTCGCGCCCTCGACGAACGCCGACACCACGGACAGCAGACCGCGGCCGCCAGGCCCCAACTGCAAGTATGCTGGTGGTTCGTCGCCCGCCTCGCGCCCTCGACGAATGGTTACACAGCGAGCACACGTCAATATCAGACACCAGTAGCGCTGCCGCAAAGCAAATGCACATGAAGTCATCATGAACGTGCATGCCTAAATCAGAGCTGTACACACCATGGAAGTACTCTGCACGCGCACTGGACACGCGCATGTATCGTACATGAGTGGTATACATGGCCACACAACCGGCATACGTAACACACGTGTGCGACAACGCTAGCATACACACCACGCATCTTTCATCACGCTCATACGTACATCGTAAGTTTGGTGCACGTAGCACAGACAGAAGAACACACGTCACATTACGGGTCGCATAGCATGATATGAACGGCGACTAATCAGGCACAACATGCGTCGCCACGTCATGCTGTCCTGAAACCATACGAGCGAATCAACGACTAGTGAGAAAACGATAGACAGCACAATAATACAAACCTATCTACGTATTAATCGACTTGTCAGACATAGCAGGCGCCCCGACATCAGGCCAGCCCCACGGGAACCAAGCGCAGCAACGACCGTCTCATGAATGACTGACGTCACGGCAGACAGCATGGTGACAATTGTTTGGCACCTGGATAAGGTACATTTTTATACGTAAGCATGCCAAGTTTACGCAGTGCGTCACGGCGTCGCGTTGGCCCGTGAAACTCCGAGCGTTGCATGAACCGTTAGATTGTGCATGTACCAGGCGCAACAGCAGATTCTACTGGGCGGGCCACACATCCACTCATTACGGTGGGCCTGACAGGGTGACCACACAAAGGCGGGCCACACATCCAATCATTACGGTAACAACGCCCATGCGTATCAGACATCGATACAGACAGGAATCTCCTATGTATTGACAGCAGCATTCCACGGCGAATTGGACACGGCAGGCGTCAGGACGTCACGGCGGCTCAACAAACACCAAGTGCAACAGCGACCGTAAACGGCAGGCAGCTTGATAATATCAAATGGTAGAAGCCTGCAACGGTTCATTAGGTAGGACAGTCGTCACGCCGTTTCGCCGACCAGAGAGGTCGGTCGGGGCAACAGCCGTTGAGAAAGAACAGGCGTCACGGCAGACAAACAAGAACATGATAAACAGCAGTATTAAACAAAACGATATACATCCCACGAGCAAGCAGGCACACCAGGCGTCGCGACGTCACGCTGGCCCGAGAATGAACACCAATCGCAGCAACGACCGATTCAAAAAGGGCGCATGCCATACAGTCATCCCGCATAGTAAGGATGAGCGACTTCCCAAGGCTACCCTTGCATCCTTCCCCCTCCTGTCCATCCTCGGGCCTCTTTCGCTGGCCTCGCCCTGCTCGCAAAGTGTCGGCATGGCTTGTGTCCTTATTATACGGTCGATTGTATCAGTATTGAAGCATGCCAGCGCCACAGACAGGATGGGAATGCAAGGTAATGTGAGCATTCCATGACTGAACGTGCATCGCAGGCGCCCCGCTGTCACGCCAGTCCGAACAGTACCAAACCAACGACCACGTCTCGAGACAACGACAGCCTGCATGGCAAGACAGCGTGATGCAAGCATTCCACGGTTACTTGATTAGCATCCCGCCAGGCCCCACCAAATTCCGTCGCTTCAGTATCCCGCCCTCCATGCCTATGCAAGAGCACGGCAGGACCATGACATGCGAGGACGGAAAAACACGACAGAGCAGTGACAGAGGAAAGCGATCAGCCATGCCAGCATGCGAACGATGCAAGCCGAAAGCGACATGTGGTACATGTTGTCCGCCATCCGACAGGCTGAGGTTGTGCCGGCGCTGTTTTAGTCAGCCGCCCGGCATGTTCCGGTTGTCAGTTGGTCTTAGCCCGCCCATGCGGCGCGTATCGGCGGGGTCGCAAAATTGCGTTTCTACGTTTCCCTAGCGGCCCCGCCGCCGCCCAGGGCAGTGCGCCGCTCCCGGGAGGAGGACGAGGGAGAGGAGGAAGGGGATGAGGGGAGAGGAGGACGAGGCAGGACGAGGAGGAGCCACAGGAGCAGGAGGAGGAGGTGGAGGAGGAGGGGGATGATGGATTACGACGGAGGAGGAGGAGGAGGAGGAGGAGGAGGAGGAGGAGGAGGAGGAGGAGGAGGAGGACGAGATGGAGGAGGACCAGGAGGCGCCGCAAGGGCAGCGGCGGTCTGGGCTGCTGGCCGGGTCGGCTACGTGTAAGAGAGACCCCTCGCAGGAGTGACCTCTGCTGCGGGCTCACCGGGGTCCCCCCGATCGCTGAGCGCGATGCGATAGTGGCTGCTGGCGCGCTTGGATTCGGCCGCCTTGCGCCCCACAGTCTGCGCACTAAAGGTCACTCTTGCCTGGGGTCACTCTTGGGTGTAGCCGGACGGGAAGGAAGAATCAATCGGGCACAAGCTTCAAGTTCTTCATCTGCCCACATTCCTTTTCCTCCGCCGCCGTCCGCCTCCTCTGCCGCCCTGTTGCGCGAATCCATTCTGAAGGTGTGGGCATCGCCGGGGATAAGTGCCGAAGGTTTCGGTGGGGATCGATCGAGGCTTTGCTCATCCCATGGTCTTTTTCCAGATGATTGCCCCATCCTCTGGCGAGGCTGAGCTTTGCTGGGCAAGGGGTCACTCCGGCCTGGGGTCACTCTTGCATATCGCCGATGAGGCGTGCAAGAAGGGGCCGCAGACGTGCTCGCGTCGTGAATCAAAACCAGGACGGGCGTTTTTTCATTGTCTTCGTCCTCGGGGTGCCCTGACCAGGCCCTGGGACCGTCAAGAAAACGACTCGGGGTGAAAAGCCGGTCCTGGGGAAAGAGTCGGGACTTCCGGTGACCGCATGCTGACAAAAATCAGGATGTCGCATGCCCAGGGCCTCGTCTTCGAGGATCGGCTTCCTCGGCGGAAGGCGTCGGAAGGCCGGCGGAACGCGGCTGAATGCCGCCGGAAGGCCAGTTGAAAACGGCGGAGGTAAAACGAGGCCGCCTCCGCTCGCGGAAGCTCAGCAGAAGGTCGGCGGAAGTTTGCCATGGGGGAAGCGGATCCTGAGGGAAACGAGGTCCCGAGGTTTTGTGCCGTTTTCGGGCTCTCGGGGCCCTCCACGGGCCCCATGACTATCAGGAAACGACTCAGGATGTCACCACCCACCAAACCACCCCAACCCAACCCGAAGGCTACAATTTGCCATCCATTTCCAGTGTGGGGGGGGGGGCGGGGAACACTGTAAAAACACATGGAACCCGTAATTACCCCCCCAAACCCGAAGTCCGAAGTTCGACTCAAATTCGGGTCTTCGGGTTGGGTTGAGGTGGTCTGGTAGGTAGTCAGGATGAAGACCTCGTCCTGGAGGAATGCCCCACCGTCCAGGACCCGTTTCCCTCAGGACCCGTTTCCCCCATGTTGGGGAATTAAGAGTCGGCCTCTAAGTTCTAAGAGAGGGCAAGGTTTTTTTGGTTCGTTTTTTTTTGAGCTCGCTGAATTGGGGGGAGGGGTCGAGGGCAGCACGAGAGGGGCCCAAGAGGGGGCTCCTCAGGGGTCCGGAAGGTGCACGAAAGGACACCCCCCCTGTCAGGGCCCATTGCGATTCGATCTATTCGATTCGATATCGCTTTCGGCCAGCTCGAGCCGATTCGATTTCGAATTCCCGGCGATCCGAGATGCGGTTCGATGCATGCATGTCGTTATTGTACATCTTGGTGCAGCCGATCCGATTCGATCTCGACTCCGTGCCGATGCGGCCCGATCCGACGCACACTCCAGTGCGATCCGACCTCTCCATTCGATGCTGCCTGGTCCTGCCGTTGAGCGACCACCCATGGCGCAACGCCCAAGACTCAGTCTCGTTGAGCCGATCCCTATCCTCATCCCCATCACCATCCCGATCCTCGCCATCCCACCATCCCAGTTGGGGATATGCCCCTCGAAACCCGAATGGAACAACCCATACGGTAGGTTCGCGTC